TCGAGAGGGGAGATAGTCGATAAACCATAAAAATACGCTGGCTAATTCGACGTAAATTTGTCGAATTAGGGGCAACTTGGAAGTATGCAGAATTCGTAATTCACAAGTAGGTAACCTTGGAGTGCAAAATAGTTCCATGAGAGGGCCTGTGAAGTTACCTTTCGTCCAGATATTCTTCAGACCACTTTTTAAACACACTCTTCAAAGTTTCCGCGTCAAGGTTCTGTAGCAGACGTTCAATACAAAGGCGACTGGTCTGAGGAACGCCCTCAGTGTCCAGGCGACGGAGCAAAAGGATGGGGTCCTGGTCAACTGCCTTGAACCAGGCCAGCACCAGTTCTTCGGCAGCCTTGCGAACTTCCCCTACAAATGAGCATAAAAAAGGGTCACCCTGAAGCTGATAGTCAGCATTGAGACTGTGTAAGATGCTCCTAGGAATGCAAAAGGCATGAGCAGGACGGAATTGCATGGCACTATAAAAAAAAATGAACCTAATGTCAAAATAATGTGAACGATGGGGGACTCACGAGAGGTGTCTTTCAGGCCATCCTGTATTATGGCAATGCGCTTGGCTATTGAGAGTGGTCGCAGGACTGACCGCTCAGCCAAGATGTTATAAGCCGTTTTCCGCACCGAGTCCGAGACATCACGACAGCGTTCCACCACGCAGGGTAAGGTCACTGTTGTGAGTACCAGAGCGGCCAGAGCAGTGCGTCGTACCTCAGGGATGTCGTGCCGTGCCAGCCAAAGCAGATTTGCGACGACGGGGCAGTCCTTGTTTGTCGGATCTTGCAGTCGACACAGGCCATGTATAGACTGGATTCGAACCGTGTGCTTAGTGGAGAAAGAAGGGAGGGTTGAGAAGACCGAACGAAAGATGTGTGAACCCGTCCTAACCCTCCTGACAAGGCTACCGTCAGTAGAAGATCATAGCGCATACACCGAAATCACCAGAGAAAGCGTGCACATCAATAATCCAGTTTTTTGGAACTAGCTGCGATGAACTGCTGTTTCGATTAGACAATTTTCCGTTAACGGGCGTCGGGTTAAACGCTGCGGCAATGGAACAAGTGTCCGAAAGAGAGTGTCATACAGATGGAAGGACGGCACTAAAAGCAGCCATCGAGGGCACTGGGACTAAGATTAGGTGGGAAAAGTGAGTAGAGTGACGAGGGCATAACACGTACAAGCGTTGAAAGGGACTTCGTGTGGGGGCATTCTAGGGCAAATTTCTTCGTGGTTTTGACTTGCTCCGCCGGATTAGAACGGATGCCTTGTGGCGATCCTTCCTGAAAATGTTAGTCGAATCCTGGCACTTACTCATAATGCGAATGACGACCTTGTACACCGCATGGATCTGCGCGAGTCGGTCAACTTAGATTGCACCTGACTTTTGGTTTGTATTTAGACTGTGCACTAGAGCATCCTGGTGCTTAGTAAGATCATACCCAGTTCCAAATACCCTATATGCGACGTGAGTAAGTGGTAAGTATATCACATCCAGGGCATTTTCTAACGCAATATTAGGTTATCGTCTTTAAGGATAAGGATAGCTGAATAGAACTGTGTGCTCGAAAAAACATCGCAAAGACGGGTTTTAGAATATACATATTCCACAAAAAGTCAAGTGTTGCTTATTGCATGATCGTCAGGCATAGTAACGGGTCCTAAGCACCTCTAACGCATTCAAGGCAAATTTAACAGTCATCTCCCATAGCTGTCTCCGTGAAACATTCTACATGCATGCGCCAGCGGTCAAGAGCATCCCTGAATAGCACTTGAAAAACTTTACTTCGACTGCCCGCCATCAACTCTGCAGTCGTCCCACGGTTAACGGCGTCGTTAATTTTCAACTTTTGCTCAATCTTGGTCTTGAAAGTTCTGTCGTACTTCCTAGGCATTTCTCTTTCTATATTAGCAACATCTACCTGAAATTGTATGTGGCTTTCTTCACTATAGATCGTCTCCGAGTTATCGTTGGCAATGATGTTGACAGTTTTACCTGTCATAAAGTCACTTTATTAAGAGCATATCACCAATAATAGTACACGAATGAAAACTGGAACGCAAGTGAAACAGTGGCCGTTTCAGGCTTGGCAACGGATCGATGTGTGATGTCAAAACCGGCGGCGCTTGCAAGTCAAACCACGTCCTCTTCGACGCGTTAAAGCTCGCCTCGCGTTTTACCTAAAACGTTATGTGCCAGAGGCCAGCGTGTCTCAGGGTTACGGCATCCTGGCATTATGGAGGCCCTGAAGAGGAGGAGACTGCAGGAGTGAAAAGCTATCGACGAAGTCAAAAATCTACTCGACGGCTAACAGAAGTGAGGGGTCCTTCCTCCGGCATCATATCCTCTAATTGTCAGTCCAAGCATGTTGAGCTAGAGCACTAAACTATTCATCTATGACGTCACTGATGAAAGAAACAGCGTAACAACAGTTTGATGCCCTGAATTCAAGAGACTACTGAACGAGAATGGTGAGTTGAAATCGTGTCTGGTAACGGGAATTAGGCAATTCCCACATGTTTTCACGACGAAAGGCAAAATGATATGTGACGAGAACCGCGACACAACTTTCTCTGGCGGTGCAGTGTGTGCTGTAAGCAAAGCGCCTGCCAGGCTGAATTCTAAGTTGAACACGTATGTATGCATCAAATCCACATGGAAATCCCATTTGCCAACGAGTGGCAATGATTTATGACGCTCCGGACAAGAACAAGCAGTTCAGCAATCTGAACTGATTGCAATAATGCGTACAGGCATTCCGCTTTGTTTTAAAGCTTCGGACTTGAATGCCTACAGGTGATCCCATAGGTAGGGGCAACAAATAATGGGCAGGAATACCTACAATAACAATGGAAACCGGAATATCTCATTCGGCGTTGTCAGCCAGTCACACCTCAGCCCTAAGCCGTAAATAAATTTGGTTTGAAGCACGTCTAAGACTGTTAAAGTGTATTTAGACGAAATAGGCGAACACGAACTCCATGATGGAATAGTCTCGACCGTCGCAAACAAAGCACGGGTTAACAACTCAGTTGCAATGAATTGTCCTCTTAAATGGTATAAATTAAGTTCTGGAATTCGCAATCCAGAGTTTGGGCACGGCTGACTGGTGACGGCAAAAAAAAGTTGAAAAAGGGCAATTCCCGTCACCCTGGTCTTTGTGTGCAAACCTTTCAAGTGAACGTGGAAAGTTTAAGGCAACATCGTCGGCCACTGCAGATCTCGAAGTTCACAGTTATGGCAAACTCCTGAACTGGGTTTCTGGTCTTTCAAAAGGGAGTTTAGACAGAGCTGACTATGGCAAATAGGCCGGAAAGGACAACCCCAATTACACTTATCTCTGTAGATAAGCCTATCGATTACAAACCAACCATTCACCCAACGGTGTATCTTCAAGGTCCAATGGTGCCACCAGCGTTTGATTCTGTTCATTGGTAGCACCAACGGCAAGGAATGAGACGAGACAGCAAACAACCCCAACTACTGCTCAGATCAAGGTCCATCACTGCTGTCTGTGCCCGTGTCTGCAGTAGAAACTCCACAGTAGCTCAAACTCTGATTACGGATTATGCAACAGGGCATTCTGTTGCTTTTTAGCTAGATAATTGGCTGGACTCAGGAAGGTAACCCCCCCCCCGCGCCGGTCTTGAAGAATGTTGTGGCGGGATGAAAGATATGAACCTATCAGATGGTTTGCCTAGCGACGCGACAAAGGCTAAAGCATTCTCCAGATCCATCCCTGATCTGAGTGGGGCGCCCCCGCGAGTTCGACGGTCATCGGCTACTGTCAAGTGAACAGAGTAGATACGACATCATGGCCTGAATTAGAGACGGACAGGTGGCTCATAATCGAGGACGCAAAAGTAGAAGAACAAGTAATGAGTCCTGAAGAGGACACTTACTTTGATGTCCTGAGAGCGCCGAAGAAGGACGCGTTGAATAATATCAAGTAGCTCCACGGGTAGGCACTCCTCGGCCCCCATTGCTTGCAGCAATTTCTGGATGATCTGGGTGCAGCGAAACCGCGGAGCTGGATCTACACATTCGTGGTACTGGGAAAAAAAAGGTCCACTTCTTAGATGGGGGTATAGTAACAGGAAGTTTAGACTGAATATTTCAGGCGTACGGGTCCCACAAGTAATATTACAAATTATGCATCCAAAGCAAAGGCGTCCTGCTAACTCTATATGATTGTAATAGTGTCTACAGGAAAGGTTTCAGTTAGCTGTTTGCGACCTGGTCACATATGAATTGAAAGGTGCTGCTCAAGATAGTATTCAATCTGACTAATTAAATACGCTAACCAGGGAAATGGCGGCAGAAAGTCGGCAGTGGAAACGCCGTGATCCGGGTCGCGAAACCTTTGATAGAACAACACGCCTGGACAGGGTGAAGAGGTAGTTAGCGCAGTAGCAGCAGCAACCACAACCAACAACGATGCCACCAACATCTCCGTAGACAGTTCCACCATGTCCTTACTGCCGCTACACATTTT